CGTATGATGCGATACCCGTGCTGCTTACTCGAGTGTATAGGACGTAAGACGATTACTCGAGTATGATACTTCCTCCGGCGGACTGAATTAATTCGGAGGGGGCGAACTTACTCCGGGCTTTAATAATGGTGGAGGGATGGTGGTGTACCCGGGAGTTTGATGTCACGCCTGCCTTGTAGATCTCGGTCTGCTGTCGTGTCTCCCGATGGATATTGTACCGTGGCGTGGTGTCGGGCTTCAGCCTATAACGCAGTTCCAGAGATGGGTAGGTTAACGAGGGGGTTTTTCTCTTAGGGGTAGGGTGGCTGACCGGGTAACGGGGCCTCCTGAGGTACCGGTATGATAATATGATATGATAAGCGACAAATCATCATGGCTATTTAGGTAACCTGCGCTAATTAGGCAAACAGCAAGGGAGAGGATGCCTTAACGAGTGACTTCGTATGATCCTGAATATCATAATGCAGGACAACCCCCATGTTCTGTTGGGAAAAGCCAATTTTTTCATAAGTGCTGGAGAAGCATTTGCCGAAGCCCGCTGAACCCTTAGGCTGTTAATTTCGATCAATTTTCCCGTGAGCCGGGAGGCAGCCCACCACTCGTTCATATCCCCTGCTGGGGTGGGGGGAACGGATCGCGAGAGACCCGACTGCAGTAAGTCCATATCGAAAATATGCTTAAATCCTCTTCGATCGGGAAGGACCCCACAAGGTTCGGACCTGGAGCGAGAGACCAGGCTGCGGAAGACGATACCTGACGATCGCGGGAGGCCTGGTTGGGTGGGTGAGGTTGGCGGAGGTCAGAATCGTTAGGGAGGTATCAAAGGAGGGGCTCAAGCTATATGTCACACGGCAGAGCCTTACTGGATCCTCGGTATCAAACCGTTCTCCTCTACCTGCGGTGCCGCTCCAGGAGGTAGGGCGGCGTATCAGGTGGCTTGGGCCTATCACACCTGCACCACCACAATGCCTAACTAAATCGTCGACATGGTATGCTGGGAAAAATAATAAAAATAATAATAATCCCGGGGGATATCCTCCGAAACTTAACAGCCCTGATGTTACAAGGCAGGCGCTGGAGAGCGTTGCCTCAATACTGTGATGCCAATCCTACCGCTGGAACTACTACTCCACGGAGGGGGTTGATATTGCCTTTGGATCACCCAGGGAGCCCACGATTTGGGCCCAAGCCACCTCCATCAGCCCGGCACTCACGTAGGAGCAGAGGGTGGAGTGCCTGTCATCATCGCCTATTCAAAATCCTCAACAATTGAGTGACACGTGATGAACGCACAGCCTTGCCTTCCTTCTTCCCTTTCTTGGCGTATCAGACTTTGCACAGCTTACCTTAGGCTACCGGCACTATCAGCATGCGCAGCAGTCACGCCTTCTATGGGAGGGCGGTGACGGCCACAAATTAATGAGAATGTGGACCTTATTCGTTCAAGCCCCTTTTTGGCAGGTGCTAATATAAATAAGGAAATACGATGGTATCCCGTGAGGCCGTTATGAATGGGGGTGAAGTTCCTTTGTTTAAAGGGTTTCTTCTTTTTTTTTTGGGGGGGGGGCACCGTATAATACCCGAGGGGTGTGTTTCTTGAATTTGCTTGTATCATACCTAAATTTACATGTCCTGCAGTTGCGAACATATCCGAGGATTTTTTTTAGATTTTTTTTAAATTTTTTATTTGGTGAGAATAGCGTATAAAACCGAGATGAGAGAATGTGGTTTGCTTCCGGAAACAAAGGGTGCTATTATCCCTATTGTGAAATATCCTTTTAACGAGTGCTTTAAGAAGTGAGGGGTGTGGCAATTACACGTTGGACAGAAATCCAGGAATAATAAAAAAAGGGGAATGCCACATTATCGTTGTTGTTATTATTACCTGAATCATCATTTTATGCTCCTTTCCTTCAAAATGCTGCAGAGTTTGGGGTGTGCCGAGGGCTTCATTGTGATACCATAAATCTAAGAAATACCACGAAAAGCACTCTGGAAAACCGGGGATACCGTGACATTTGTAGCGTGCTGAACAGCCCCTTTATTTCCTTATTTGTTTGGCCTGTATTCACCATTGGAGGAGGAGGAGGTCCTCTCTCCCAGTGCATCATTCGAATCTGCTTGACCAACTATCATATCAGTTCTTGTTGAATGCCCTGAACCTGATGAAAGCTTGTGTAGCGTTTCAAACACTACGGCAGGGCAGACCGAAAAAAAAAGAAGAAAAAAGGCCGCCAAAATCCCCCTTTCTTATGAACAAGATCTCTTGTGATATGTCGAAGCCGAAGCCTTCCCTTTTTCCCATTCCTTTTTTTTTTCTTTGTCCGGTCCTTGTGTAACTTTAGTGGTTTTTCCATCGATTACCCAAAGTATCACTCGTTGCTACAAGTACTGTACTATAATTTAAGGGACACTATACGGCACACAACGTTCAACGGTGCGGGGCTATCGACTAACCTCTCCTCCCCCTCATTTTACGGAGAGATGGTGATCTCCGGCGGACTATCAGGGGCACTGAGGGCTTGATACTCATCTCTCGAGAGAAAGTGTCTTCAGATCGCTGCCTTGTTGGGGGATATATATGGATGGGCGGGAGATAGTGGGTGTGCACCAAGTGGGCGGGAGATATTTTCTGCTCAGGGGTCCTTAATTTATAGCGTTGGAGCTCATGGGGAGATGCTGTCTCCTAGGAGGGTGGGTTGGATTGCATGGGTATTAGGATGTTATACTGTTTTATTGGATTCGCACCGCTTTGGCTTTGGGGAGGAGTAGGGATGGGTCTTGTACTCTAGATGGGTAGCTTAATACCGTCGCACACGTGCACGCACAAACATCTGTGCGTTAGCAAGTGTATAACGGTGGAACGATGCGAGTGTCGAATTATTTCTTCTAAACGGAAAAGAACTATATCCCATCATGAATAACCACTTTCCCCCTCCCAGAACTCACTTGGATTGAGCCAACCCCGCGGGCAAAGTTTCAGATAAAGTAATTCTCGGACAAGTTCTAGCGGAAGCTTGAGTCTAAGATCCGATGCGAATATTTATTGGGTTACTGGGTGTATCTCGACCTCACGTCTTTCACCGGTGGTGACATTCCGCCTGAAAGATTTCCCCAGAGCCCAACGGTCGGTTTTGTAAAAGATATCAATGGTGAAATGGGCTCCGTGTTGATTCTTAGTCACTCACTCACACTCGCTGACCGGTTTGGTGGTTTTGATACTGGAGGAGCTGAATACTATTTCAGGGTTGACGTCTCTTTTCCCTGACTGAGAGACTGAGAGAGATACGGAAAAGTTCTCTTTTCTTTCTGATTTCTTGTATTATTACTTTTTTGTTCCGTTTCTGCCAGCGGTTCGCAGACATCGTTTCTAGGTTTATTGTCCAGAGTTGGGCTCTACAGTACCACCCCCTGGCGGTATGATGCTGATTTACCGTATGACCTTACTGAGGGAAGCTGTGATAAGGCCTCCAATCTCTCAGTCCCCATAGAGAAGGGTTTCTTTCTTTCTTTCTTTCCGTATAGCCCTTGTGGTGGATCGTTCAATAGTATCGTAACTGATTGTGAGTGGGGGAATAAATCGAACTCCTGGGCTCCTGCTAATTGTATAGGGGTTAATTGGACCCTTGGCCCCTTAACTGTCTCCGACCCCAGTTGGATATTTCACGTAATATCACCGTAGGAACGAATACTTATCCAGAATTTATATAGGAGCCAATACGAGAATGAGAAATTAGAAACCACTGATCACTGATAGATAATCGCGAAATACTTGGTATGCAAAGGGGAAGTCACAGTGGGGATACTGGTGATGGAGAGAGAAGAAAAGAAGAAGAAAAAGAGTATGATAGGTTTCTCCGCTAGAAGGACGGGGCTACTGATCGTGGCCATACTCCACTACGGAGGACTGCAGTGCGCTGATCTGTGTATAACAGAAGCGCACTCTGATAATATATTCACAACTTGTGATAATATAGCCCGGGGCGTTGTGCCCAACTTGAAAGTTGGGCACACGAGTTTCTGGGTAGTTGGTATAAAGGAATTATGTGTCTCGTCATGGGCTGTCATTCGATGTGGCAGTGCAGTTCCTTGTAGCATGCATACGAAGCACATGAACGCGTTGATGGATCGGGGGTGCAGGATGGTCGGGGCCGGGAGTTGGGAGTTGTTCTCGGGGCATGGAGTTACTGCGGCTGGTGGGGTGAGCGGCGGTTTAATGTTTGCGAATAATTACGTCGGCACTAGCTTGTGGTCTACGAAGAGTAGATGTTTCCACGGTGAGATGAGCGAGGGTGCTTCGCTGGAAACATATGTGAGTCCCTCCGTGAGCAAGTGCCCGGGAGTGTTAGAGTCATGATATGAAGCGGAATGCTAAACATGAGCCTTATGGTGTGGTAGGTTGTGCTAGATCTTTGGGCGATAGGCAGGCAAGTAGAGGGCTCGGTTCTTCCGGTTTCAATACTCACGGGAGTCTATTAAGTTAACTTGCTAGCATAATTCACCGATCTACGGACAACTTTGGGGAAAAGAGGATATACAGACACACTACCCACCCCTCAATAAAATAAAATAAAGTAAAATAAATACGTGACTCCCGGCTGGGCCGTGGCAGCAGTGCTTATGGAGGATGGGTTCAGAGTCTAAACCATTGTCGGTTTAAACTTGAGAACCATCTAGCAGATAGGTAAAAATGCGCCACTGGGAAAGACAAGGGGAAAAGGGAAAAAGGCATCTCCTAAAGTCGCTCGCAATAGATGGGAAAAGCAAAGCAGGGCAATAGATCCTGCCAAGGCACATGCACGCCTACCGGTTATCTCCCAAATCCGGCTCTCCCAGGGTGTATTTCTCCGCTTCGATCGAATTTGATCCCACTAGGTTATGTCTGCACGAGCACTGCGGGTCATGCATATATTCGAATATGGTCTTCTTTCTCATTGTCTAGGAGTGGGAGTAAAAAGATCAAAAACGATGAATTACTCACCAATGCATGCGCCAAGAGTTCACGTCCCGGCAATGCTCCATTTCCGCATCAACCCCACGCCACCACCATGGAGTAGAATCCCTACGATGTTCTTGAAATCTTGCGTGGCAGCGGTTTGTAGTGGTGAGCAGCCTGTGATGTCCTCGGTGCTAGTGTTGACCCTGTCGTCCGCGAGCAGAAGCCGCACGCCGGCTTCGAGTCCTCGATGAACGGCCGTATGGAAGGCCGTGCGGCCATGGAGGTCCCGGATATTAGGGTCGAGCCTTTGGTCCGCGAGCAAGAGTGGAATTACGCCGCTGCTGCCGCCGATGACAGCGTTATGCAATGGAGTTCTGTGGTAGCCGTTGATGGAGTTGATGTTGATTCTGGCGTCATCCAGGAGCACCCTGGCCACATCTCGGTATCCGTATCGAGCGGCGTAGTGCAAAGGCCTATCTCCGTTGTCGCCCTCGATCTCGGGATCGACCCTCTTGTCATCCAGGAGCATCTGCACCACCCTTCTGCGCCCCATGTACGCCGCGAGGTGTAATGGGGTGTCGCCCTCTTCATTCCTGTGGTTCACATTGAACCTGTCGTCCTCTAGCATTGTCTTGATAATCCCCTCAGAGCCGTACTGAGTTGCAACGTGTAGCGCTGTTTCGTCGAGAAGGTTCGATATATTGACATTGAGTCTCTTATCCGCCAGGAGAGCCAATACGACTTCCTCGCGATCGCAGCCCACCGCAAGATGTAGCGCAGTCCTGTATGCGTGGTCTTGCGCATTGATGTCTAGGGCCGTGCTTTCCAGCAGGAGCCGCACAATCTCGACCTCGCCTTCCTCCGCCGCGATGAGCAGTGGCGTGTACACCTCGGTTGAGTTGCCGCGGTTCAGAACGGCATTGAGGTCGACGCTCACCTGCTTCAATAGCAATTCCACCACTCCCGGGAGCCCACAGTAGATTGCTGTGAAGAGTGGCGAAAGACCCTCCGAGTCCCGAGCGTCTGCTTCAAAGCCGCACTCCAGGAGGGTGTGCACGGCGTCAAGGCTTCGTGAGCGTACAGCTTGGCCGAGAAGCCACCCTTCTCCAAAGAGGTTGATGATTCCCTTGTGGATGAGCCTGTTCACTTTCGCCCTATCCTGACGTATCGACACAGCATTCAGCGCTGCTGAAGCTTTCTGCTTGAACTGCAAGCAACACGTGTTGTCGAGGAGAGCGGGAGCTAGAAGGGCCGCGAGTCGGTGGTTCGTTCTTAGAAGAGCGTTTGTGTCCTGGGGGTATTGAAATTGGGATATCTGAAGGATGATCTCGTTTGGTAGACCGAGGAATTCCATAGCAGGTGGATGCTTGGGCGACTACTGAGTCTGGGATAGATACTATCGAGGTTGAGATCTTATGGGCATATATGTGGAAGATGCAGGGTGGGGTTATGGCTACGCCTGGGCCCAATCTTGGGTGAATTATCGGCAATGCCATTGTTTGTTGGATCACGTGAATGAAAATAGGCAGTTGGGCCAATCATCTGGAATCACTCGCTGGGCGGGACTCTTGCTAAATTCGTCTCCAGACATGCTGCTAGATATACCCAACAGAGCCCGAAAGTTGCTAGATACCTGGCGACAGCTAAAGCTATGGCTGTTACGCGCTAGAAGCCCCGCAGGCGTGATTTATAGAAGCTAGCTTGAAGAGGTGATATACCAATATACTCCCCAAAAGAGAACTGAAGCCGGTGCTGCTCAAACCGGGGTGCGAAATATGGATAATGGAGCTGCAATAGTCTGCCAGGGCGTTTGCTGGGAGTAGAAACAATGCCCAAATACCGTATCTTGGAGATTGCTCTACACAAGGTCTTTGGGACCTGTGGTATAAAGTGGGAGTATCCTGATTAGGGAAATCAGCAAGGTTTCACATGGTTGACATCTCGCCTACTGGCAAATAGACAGTTTTGCTCAGAATTGAACCGGAGATTGGCCTCCCAGTCCAGCACTACACTGCTAGGTACGGGAGGCCCCAACTTATTGATTCCGCCCTTTTCCGGGTTGTTATTGCAGCCATAGCGGGGGGAAGTTTTATTTTACAAGTAAAAGGAGACACGAATAACAAATTAAAAACAAGGAGAAGGGGGAAAGCATTAAATTTGAGACCGAGAAGGTCGGGCATTTCCGATGGCAAATTAAGGATCCCCAGGGAAAGAAGTAATAATAAAATCCTATAATGAAAAGAAAGAGAAGAACCCTAAGCCAGCAACACCAGTCGCAAAGAGAATCAAAGGTCCCGAAAACAAACGCAAAAGTACCACCTCCAAGTCTATGCCTGAACAACCCTCTCCCCTCATGCCAATCTCACCCGGTCCAATCCCAATTGCTGCTGGAAACATGCGCCTTTCCTACCTGTTATCCATACGGCCGTGTATCCTGAGACCCCATTACTTTGTTTCCCGGCGTCATCGATAATCCAACTCAAACAATTATCGAAGAAACGAAGCCTTTATAATGACTTCTTCCTCTGCTCCATATCACCCTCTGCGAGCGAAACAGCAGCCTTAACCATCTGAACAACATTGATCCATTGCTTCGCGGCGCAAATCGGGAAAGTGGCTATGGCAACTATCCACGGCCAGGAGTGAATTTCCGAAGAGAACTGCGGGAAACTAAGGAGGTACATTGCGAGGAAAAAGAGCTCATTTGCGGCGCAGAATACGAAAAGAATTTTCTGAGGGAAGAATTTTAGAGAGGGGATTCAGACAGGTAGGGGATTCGGGGCAAAAGGTTTTGGGGCCTACATTGTTGGAGTAATAAAGATTCAGGACTCGGGACAGCTTCTTCTCCACCTTCTTGTGAGACCCTGCACCGCGATCGAGAGATGCGTACCTGTTGGTTCATTAGCTGCTTTATTCGGCCACGGAGGCTGCGAGATGATCGTCTAGACTCACATGTGCATATAGTGGCTAGCCAGATCTAAACTGATGAGTCCCTGGAACAAGATAGCCCATTTCGGATAAGCCGAAGACAAGAAACAGAGCAAACAGCTGGTCGTGCAACGGTCCGTAACCATGTCCAATACGGCGCCGAATTTGGTTGACTGAGAAAATTTGCGAGCAGCGTAACCGTCCAGGGCATCCAAGAGACAAGAAAAGGAATAAAGGATTGTACAATAGTGAGGGTGATAGGACATGTAGTATAGGGAGGCACCAGCGAGGAGAATTCGGGAGTATCCTGGAATCCGAACATTAGAACTCGTTCCAGCTCGATTCTGTTTTTAGGACGGAAAGAACTTGGATACCTATCAGGTTTGGGATAAACAGGAATATGTTCTCCGGTCGAGGCTCTGCGGACTTTACCGGCAGGTTTGAGCGTCGTGTGGGTATGTTTGACTTCGGCATGTTTGCTATATCGGTCAGACGAAAGCTCGGGAAGGTTCAGATACAGTAGCAGCCAAAAGAAGCACCTGGACGGGAATCGGAGAGAAGAAGAGGGGGGATAGATGGGGGATCGTTAAAGCAGGGATAGGGGATGAAGGAGGAAAAGGAGATTCAAGGGAGTCAGGGTTAGGGAACCGATCTCAGAGCCCAAGAGCTGAGACTGGTGACGCAAACACACAACTAACGACCAAAAGGCGCGATGAGCATCAACGGTAGCGGAGGGTCGATGGGGAGCCGATAGATAGTGTTGGCGCAAGGGGCGGGGGATCGTGGGGAATAGTGAGAGTTGGAAGTTGTGGAAAGGGTGAGGAGGGGGTAGGAGGAAAGGAGAGAAGGGGGGAGAGACAATGAGTGAAGCTTTAAATTATATATTGAAGGGTTATGGGTTATGTGAGCTTCGTCTCTAACTTATGCCTTGTTTTTTTGTAAGGTCCGAGATACCGGCAGCAATGACAGACTCGTGACAAGCTCTTGGTCGGAATCGAGTGGGGGAAAGGGAGGGTGAGGATAGCGAATTGTGATAAGGGAGTGTCAGTGGAGAGCCGATGAGGAGGAAGGGGAGGAAGGAGTTCTTGGGAGGAAGGGGAGGGGAGGAGGGGTATGGCGGAGATGTGGTATGGGGCATGTGGGGGAGAGAAGGGCGGTGGCCGTGGAAGCAATAACCCAGAAATGGGTGGTAAGTTACCGGCAGATGGGTGGGAAACCGGGGTGGCTTCGACATCACGACGGTAAGGGGAGGGAAGGAAAGGATAGTCCAATTTAGTAGGGCACAGAACGTGTTTTCTGTAACCTTCACGGACCCAACAAGCAGCATGGCGGATTGTCTACGATATGGTACAGACAAATTACGGTTCGAGAGGGCAGCGTTGGTGTCCACAGTGCGGTGCTCCACGATATCATACTTGGCCGTGACTTTTCAATGGCCACATGACTAAGCGGTTGAGCCTCATCTTGCTTTGCCCCATGCTCAGAGATTCTGGAGCAGAGCACTTGCAGGAATGGCTAAAAGTTGACTAACCATTGGCAACGAACATCAAACCTTCCCTGAGCTCCCTTTCTCACTTCCCCGATCTGTTGCAACAAGAAACGTCGAAGTCGCGCTTCACCATTCCGCTCCCCCACCGCCATCGGTCACCAGCTCCTCGCTACCGGGCGTCGATAGAGAATCTTCCTCGTCCTCTTTACCCAGCGCCGCCCCTGTTGCCCGAATCCTTATTGTTCGGGGGGAAAAGAAGAAAAGAGAAAAAAATAGAAAGCGGCGACCGCTCGGAGCTCATGGAACCCGCTTAACTCGCGCAGCTCTTTCACCATTCCCGCACCTGCGCACTTCGCTATCCCGACACTCCCCTAGATATAATTTCCCCCCCACCACTCTTTCCTGCAGAGCCTCATCCGACGACATCTCGTCTCCTGACACCACCCCCCACGCTCTCTTATCGACCACCTACGCAACAACACAACAACCTTCATCCACTCCCCCGCTACTTGAAATAAGAAAGAAACTCCTAAACTATACCTGTCGCGATACACTCTTTCTCTATTATAAACCCGGATATTTGTGTGGACTGACCATGTCCACATCCACCTCCACCTCGAATGCTACCCCCTTAAATCCTAGAATTAAGCTTAATCCATCTGGAGCTACTGGTTCTGGTCAACGGACATATACTGGCAAACATCCTCCCCCTGGTCATAGCAGTCGCTCCAATGGTTCTGGCACGAACGCGCGACCCCCGCCATTGCCGTCTCCTACCCCTACGGTCTCTGGCGGGAATGCTGTGAATGGGGGAGGGGTTAATGGTGTGAATACAAACTCTGCCGGGACTCGGATATCGGAACGACGGAGGACCAATAAGGCTGGAGGCCCCGGAAAGCTGAAAGGAGGAAATATTGATGGTCGGGCGAAGGGGGCCGGTGGAGGTAATGAGCCGGAGAGTGCTCCCCGGCCGACAAAGGTAGGAACATCTTGCAGATATATAGGCGGTATTTTGTGTGGAGCGATTCTAGTTAGTGTTTTGAATTTGCTGATTATGAGCTTGGGCTAGAAACTTCCGACAAAACCATACGTGAATACAACATCCGTAATCCTCCAGAAGTATCAAGGCCAGCCTCCGAGTATAGTTTTACATTTACATCCTCAGCACTTCCGCTTCGATGGCCAGGACGGTGGATTTGGTTATGCGAGCCCAATGAGGGTATGGTACATCTCTTTCACTGCGTTGAGATTTTTCTCTCGTCTTCGGCAGAAATTCTTCCGAAAGACATTGGGGTTAACTGTCGTGTTTGTCCTAACCTAGGTAATACTGGAATGCCTACGGTCTGAGATAATACCGCACGAAGTAGTCGAAGAGTTTAGAGATGCCGGAACAAAGTTCTACGATGGTAGGTCTTGGGTCATATATAGTTGGCCGGTACACGGTTAACGGACCATACCAGGCTGCTTGATTGTGCAAATACATGATCATCGTTCCACCTCAACGGCATCTTCTTCGAAGGCAAATGATAATAAGGCCATTCCGCATTCGATTCATAACTATAGTGAATCCCTCACCCCGTCCCCTTTTGTCCCCTTTCCTAAGGAGAAGCTTGAACGCGGTGCGGCCGGCGGACACCCTACGGCATCGCAGGGGCAGGCGGTCGGGAGTGACAAAAAAGATGCCTCTCTCCCTTCGGAGGCTAAGGCTAAGGATAAGGAAAAAGACCCGAAGACGGAAAAAAAAATTAGGATCTTCACCACGGTTCTCCATCCCACGCAATTGACCTTGCACGCAGATATGGCTGTTATGGCGTCAACACCGGTTCCATCACGGCTGAATTCGTATTCGCGGCCGCAGCAGTCAAGTTCTACACTTGCTACGCCGACATCCGCTTCCATGCCCATACCACCTACACCAACCGGGTTGACTATCAACACATCTCCTGGATGTCTGAGCACAAAGACAATACTCAATGATAGGACTGCCCTGAGTTTTGAGGCGGCTGCCCTATTAGCTACATCGCCAGCTTTGGTCCTTACCCCCGCCAAGGATCCTGAGCATGCACAAGCGATTCTCCGCGCGCTCAGGAATCCTCATAACTCATTTCCCATGCCCCCCCCCCAAGTCCCGGAAGAGGACGACAGCTGAGCTTGCAGCAGATGAGGCGCAGGCTGTCCAGGAAGAAAGGCTACTCCTGATTATGGATGAGCGCCACTCGGGACATACTTCTTTGGCCCCGGAGTCAGCCGTTGGTGATGGAGCTAATGTTGGTAACGGGTTTGAGCCTGACTTTAAGAAGTTCAAATTGATCGAGAGCATTAGGACTCGGTTAGATGAGGAAAGAAGAGTAAAGATGATCGAGAAGGAAAGACTCCAGCGGCAGGAGCTTGAGCAACGCAGGAAGCGGGAAGAGCTTGAGGCTACCCGGAGGTTGGCTGCAAGCCGAGCTTCTCAGCATGGCAGTCCCGTGTTGGCACAGGGGTCTGCTGTTGGTGCCGCAACAACTGCAACCCAAGTAAGCGGAACTACCGCCACTGCCCGTCCTGGAAGTTCTGGATCGGTACAAAGCCAGTCAGGACAACCGGTTAACAACCTGAGGCTACAATCGCAGCAGCACTTGCAGCGTCCGCAGGCACAGCAGCAGCAGCAACAAGTTCAGCAGCAGCAACAGGCCCAAGCTCAAGCGCAGCAGCAGCAAGCTCAGCAGACCCAACAAGCTCAACAAGCACAGCAGGCCCAGCAAACGCAGCAGCAAGCGCAACAGCAGCAAGCGCAACAGGCCCAGCAAGCGCAGCAACAAGCGCAGCAACAACAGGCCCAGCAGGCTCAACAGCAAGCGCAACAGCAAGCTCAACAGCAGGCTCAACAGCAGGCTCAACAGCAGGCTCAACAGCAGGCCCAACAACAGCAGGTGCAGCAAGCACACCTTGGCGGTCAACAGCAGCAAAACGTTCAGCACACCGGCCAGCAGCAGATTAGTATGGCCCAACAGTCGCAATTGCAGCATCATGCTATGTCACAACCAGGCGCGAACACTGCGGTTCCGGTGACTGCAGCTCAATATAATCATGTGCAACAACAACAACAACAGCGGATACTGTCTCAACAGCACGCCCAGCAGAATAGCCAGTCGCCAAGACCACACCACCAGTCACCACATCTTACCCAGCAATCACCGCATCTCACTCAACAGTCACCACACCTTACCCAACAATCCCCCCATCTTCAGCATAGCTCGCCACGCACATTCCAACAGCAACAGATGCTTCAGATGCAGCAACTTCAGCACCAACAACAGCAACAGCTTGCGCCCCAACATCTTCAGGGTGGAGGCATGAACAATACAAGCGTGAACGGTGCGCATGCCACGATGGTCGGGAAGACTGTGAACGCCAGTTTTCGACAAGGGAATCCCGTCCGGCGGCAACAACCTCCTCCACAAGGGCACCAATTTCAAGATTTCGGCGGCTTTGCTTTAGGTAATGGGATTCCAATGAACGGAGGGATGCACCAACTTCCCCCCGGAATGACTGCGCAGATGCCTCAGGGGATGAGCCAGAATATGATTGTTAACATGGTGAGGAATGGCACTCAAGGGATGGGGATGGGTAGAGGAGCGAGCAGGCCGTAAATAGGGCTTCGGTTGAGGTGGGCTAAGGGTTGGAGGAGCACTTTATGGAGGAGCACTTGTTATACTATTTTTTCCTCTTCAGTTTATGAGCTTGGGATTGGCTCCCTCGCTGCTCTTGCTACTGAACCCCCTCCCCCACTTTTTTCCCCTCCTCACTTTTTTTCTTTTCCTTTTCTTCATTGGTTTGGTTTAACATGAGAGTTCTTGGTAAAGTTTCCTTTTCTGTCTTGTTGGGCGCGGGACGGTATTGCGTTATTTTGACTTTCCTTTGTTTCATTTTTGTCCCTTTCTTATATTGGGAGGCGTCTTTTGTCAGGAAATCTCTGTGCTTGTTTGTTCCGTTGATCCCTTTTCTCTGCTGGTCTAGTTTTTTAGTGTTGTTAGGGTATTTCTATTTCAATTTTTGTTTCCCTTCCCTCCCTCCACTATCCCCACCTTCTGTTTTTTTCTTCTTCGTTTCTTGGAAATAATTTGTTAGAGATCTGGGAAGGAAGGGAAGGGGAATGGTGTTCACAGGGTTTCCCAGCTAATGATTTGGAACAGTGACGTATATACGTAATGACAAAGTATATATACCGGCATGGATTTTTCTTCTTTCTTTTCTATTAATTCCGAGTATTTTGGCACCCGAGTTTAAGGGAAGGCACAACTAGCGATTTACTTCTTTCCTAGACTCCTTGGTCCGATTTTCTGCCCAATTGGGTGCTTCTCGCGGGGGGCTAGGGAAGGGGGCCGGAGTGGGGAGGGGATGTCGCTGAAGTGCCATGCCATGTTATGCCCTATTGGAGGGGGGGGGGTTGGAGAGTGGAGAGTGCAAAAGAACCATCTCTATTGCTATCGTTATTATATTGCTATTGCCACTGTCATCGAGCCTTTGCAGCCTCCCAATTGCGCTATTCCACCGTGCTCCCAATTGAATGACCCATCCCACTACCGGTACTCGTCATTGGTAAGGTATGTCACTGGATTGAACAGATCGGCGCTTGCATCCACCAACGCCGGCGCGCAGAGCGATCCTTATCGTAGTGCTGACCGACTCACTCACAAGTCACGGGTGGTGGTCCCGTGCGACCGCCATTGGTGAACGGAGATTGTGTCCCAAATTGCTCAAGGCACACTTCCCCACCGCCCAGCAAATCAGCGGAAGCCACCGAGGGACACGAAACTCGCATGCACAGCCATACTGTCCCCGAAATAACCCGGGGCGACCTGGCAATTAATCCGCGACTCTCTTGAAAAAGCAAGCAAAGATAACTGACGATCCCGGCTGGTCTGGAAATACATTTATCCGAGGACCAATGCCCCTCCGCTTACACAGCCCCACCCACTCCCATAAATCTACAGCCCCACTACGCTACGTGCCGGAGTCCCTGAGTCACAGATCGAGCCGGACGTGGGAAGGCAGGGCTCACGTGCGAACGTGTCAATACGTGTTTTCGAGCACGACGCCTGTGAGTCGCAATCCGCACGCGCCCTAAATTTATTCGGTGAAGCTGAGGGAAATGAGTTGCGTGAGTCACAAAAGGCAAATTTCGTAATGCACCTCGCATGCATGAAAGTGCGCAGGACACGTAAGGGAGATAGAGAGATAGAGAGAGAGAGAGAGAGGAGGATTGTTTGCGTCGGCTATTTCTCACGCCCGTCGGGGCATGAGGAATGCTATAAGAAGTGGGAGGTATTTCGCTGCGCTGGT